CTTATCACGAATCTGATACGCATTGTATTAATTTTTTTATATAATTTCAGCTTTTATTTTTTGGAAAATATTATATTTATCATGCAACATGAGATAAAGTTATTTCCAACAACCTCAAAACGACGTCATTTAGGAAACAAATACAGAATATTTTAATAATTTAACTTTCTTTTTGTATAATGTAATTTTATTAAAATACTCAGTATTTTTTTCTCAAACCCTAAAAATAGTATTGTTTTGGAGCTCAGGAGATGATCTTATATCATGTTATAGAGAAATGTAAATCACTTATTTTTTTTTAATTATTTTGAAAGTTTTATATTAATATAAGTGAAATTGTTGAAGAATTCAAATGTGAATGATTGAGTGAAAAAGTCTCACATTGGTTAAGAATGAACTAAGTGAGCACCATATAAGTGGAAGGGCTCATGCACCTAATGTTTTAAGATTTTGAGTTTGATTGTGATGTTTTAAGCCCACTTAATGTCGTTGCTCACTTGACTCATGATTGGTGGTCCCTCCCAGCCACGAGCTCCCCTGCACAACCCTGTAATTGGCATCAGAGCTCAGAGGCGGACCTAGGTTGTTACATATGTCCGCAAGTGCAGACATAAGATTTTAGGGGGTTTTTTTTTACAGGTTGTTCTTATTTGTCTCTTGATTCAATATTTATATTAGGAGTAAATACTCTTTTAAATCCTCAATAAAAAATACGATCCCCACTTTAGTTCCTTATAAAAAAAATTAGTCTTGAGGTTTCTAAGAAATTCAAAGTGGATCAATTTAGTTAAAATCGTGATCCCTCACAAATTCAAAAACAAGGCACATTAGTTGCTCAAAAGGGCTAAAATGTGTCTACTTTGAATTTCATAGGTACCAGGTCACTATTTTTTTTTTTGTAAGGGACTAAAGTGGGGACCGAATTTTTTGTTAGGGATCAAAAAGAGTATTTACTCTTATATTAGTTAGCAATGTAGCAACGTACATAAATGATTAAAACAACGTAGCAATGCAAATTGATTAGAGAGAAAACTTATTCTTCCTCTCCTGTCACTTATCCATTATCATGCTCTCTTCATCCTTTGTTTCTTTTTTCATTTTTCTAAAAAGAGAGGATTGATTGCAGGTTTGACATTCTCAAATAAGTTAATCTCTAGAGACGAGGCACTCATTGTGATTTCGCTTGCCTTCTGTACAGGTAGTGTTGACTTTTTTATTCACCATTATAAAATAAATTGATGATATATGGATGTACTGGAGTATATTCTAATTTTGTTTTGGAAGATTGGTAAGATTTAAGGAGGAATGATTAGTCAAACCATTGCCTGCAGCTTCTTATGGAAGCAACTAAAGCGTTAATCTAAACTGTCTTTACAAAAAAAAAAATTCGGGGGCGCTGCTCCCGAACCCCCACCACTAAATGTGCGGACATAAAACTTTGTTCTTGGGTCCGCCACTGTCAGAGCTAATGGTGGATTGGCATGTGGTGATCCGAGTATGTCTTGATGTGAGAAGCCAATAAGAAGCCAAGCATTGATGAACCTCGTGAAAACTTGAAGAAGCTTCTCTTTGACGGGGAAAAAATGTGGGCCTATAACTCATACTTGAGGGCATAACTCACATTTGAGGGGGAGATGTTGAGGAATCCAATTATGAATAATTGAATGAAAAAGTTTCACATTGGTTAAGAATTGACTAAGTGAGGAGCACCATATAAATAAAAGAACTCTTACACCTAATACCTTAAGGTTTAAGTTTAATTTTCAAACCCACTTAATATCGTTGCTCACTTGACTCATGATTGACGATTTTTTATCGTCGTAAGCTTCTCTTGCATGGCTCAACAGAAATATCATAATAATTTAGGTAAATAATAAATATTTTATTATATTTATAATAATTAAAGGTCTTCCAATAAAACAGTAAAAAAAAAAAAAATCAATTTGGTTTGAGCGTGCATGTACGAACATGGTGCAGCACTGACGTACGCTTGCTTCTGATATGTGACTTACATCGAAACAGCGTATCGTAGTGTCTTCACTGCGAAGGAACCCAAATATAAGACAACCAACCAAAAATCGACAAGTTGCTCCCACAACTGTCACCCCCTCTCTCCTTTATTTGTCTCTGACGTTGGTCACTCACATTTTTTATTTTTCTTCGAATCAGCCCTCCCCTCTCACCCTTTCCTTCTCCCCTTCTTATTTTCTTTGTAGGAAAAATTCTTTACGTGATCTTTTGAGGACACTTACATCACATCAAATTTATAATGTCTCAGGGATCACGTTTTTCATCATAAAAATAGAGCGTACAGTGTTAATTTTTTCAAAAAAATAAAATAAAAATCTTTGTACCTTTAAATAGAAATTTTATAACTTTCGTGTTTTAGTATGTAACTTTTTCAGTTATTTTATGCCTTTTCTCTACGAGTTTGTTCTCTCTTATGTTTTTGTAAAATTAAATATTAATAAAGAAAGTATAAAATTACTTTAAAAATTATAAAATTTATATTATGAGTTACACAAAATAATATAATATTATATATTTTTTTAAAGAAATATTACACTAAGCCCCAATGTTTCATTATATAATTATAATTAATCTCTGAAAGTCTTTTCACCCTTTTTGATTTTTTATTTATGTCAAATGTAAGGTAAGGGGTTTACTTCAATATTTATTTTAAAATGAAATTTTATCTTAAAAGCTATAAAGTTATATAAAAAATAAGAAAATTAAAAAAAATTATAAACGAAGCTAATAAACGAAGCTATAAAGTTATATTTATTTTCAAATTAAAGTTATATTGAACCTTATAATTTATATATAATTTGTAACTTCTGAGATAAATTTTATAAAATTATACCTGCATTTTTTTAAGGGTTTGATTTTTTTCATATTGCATAAGACAATTTAGCTCATGTAACACTCAAAAAAGTGGGTGAGATCCACTAAAAAGAAAAGAGAAAAAGAAAAAAATAAGTCTCATCTGTTTTTGTGTATGTTATATAAAACAAATTATCTCATTCAACACAAGAAACATTTTTCTTTTTTTAAAATACAAAATGAACGGCGTGAGTTACAGTACATCCATTTGTACAAATTATTTTATTTGAAAGAGCGTGGGATACTTATGAACGGCCGCGGACCCAACAGTGACAAGATGTGATGTTATTATAAATACACTGATTTTATGATATGATGTGCTTATGATAGGATTGTCCGACTGATATCTTAATTTTTTTTTTGGAAAACTTCAAAAACTTTCGTGTAACTTTTTTTATAATTATTTATTTCTTTTCAAAATTTTGAATTATTTATTCTCTTGTCTTAAATTTTATTTATCATTTATTCCTCTAAGTAAAGAGATAAGTGATAAAAAAATTTAAATCAAAGAGATAAGCGATAAAAAAAATTTAAATAATAGTGTAAGTGATTCAAAAAATTTGTGAGAGGGGTAAGTGATAATTGAGAAAACTCATAGGAGTTTTTTTTGAAGTTTTTTTATATTTTTTTATAGAACGTGGCACACTTGACAATAGGGGTGTTTATCAACCTATCCAACCCACAGTGACCGAACCGAAAAATCGATAACCAAATAAATCGAAAGCCGAAAAATCGAAAACTGAAAAAAAAACGCAAATTTTAATTGTATTGGATTGATTTTTGGATGGTTGATGAAAACCGATTCAATCCAAATCGATCCAATATGTTAATTCCCCTTTATCTACTAGGTCTTTCCCCAATCATAGCCCAAAAATTTCTAAACCCAAGTCCCATTAACCCATCAACTAAACCCAAGAAAAAATTTAGTCACATCTCATCAACAAAATTTTATCTTTGTAGAGCTTCATATCTCATTGCCTAAAAAAAAACTATATTATAGTTTACTAATGCTTTTGTATTTCAAAAAAAAAAATTTACAAAGCCAATATATACAAAAGATGTTATTTGCACAATAATCATGAAATAAATTTTAGGATTTTCAAAAATCAAAAACCGATCCAATCCAATCCAAACCGAAAAAAATTGGATTGGATCGGATCGGATTTCACAAAAAATCCAAACCGAATGCATGATTATATGATCAAACCGAAATGATTGGATCAGATGATTTTTGCTTCCAAAACCGATTCAATCCAGACCGCGAACACCCCTACTTAACAACATATTTTCAATATAACAATAGTGCATTGACACGAATATATATAAAGAATAATTTTATTATATAACGTAATATTCTATAATTATTAATAATATATTAGAAAGAAACAAATTAAACGTATCTCACAAGAATAAAACGTAAGACTTATAATTAAAAAGATGATTATATTTACAAATGTTTTATTTACAAATTACATTATATACTTCTAGGCGTATATTAAGTCATACTATTTTTTTTAGTAGTATATAATATAATTTATAAAAAAATTTATAAACGAATTCTTTCCTTCTAATTCATTATAACCCTCTAAGTCCAACTATGACAATGGAACTAACTCTAGCTGACCATTTATTTGAGTTATGGCGTGACGTACAGTATAGGTTTGTCAAACAAGACTTTTACGCCATTAGTGTAGAAAACAAGAAAAATTGATTGTTATTTCCAAAAAAGAAAAAGAAAAATTGATAGTAACATATTCGAAAATAAATAATATAAGAATGTTGTAACAAAAATAATTTGGGTGTGTAAGAATTTTTTAATGGTAAAACTGATAGGATTTACTGTGGCAATAGATACAAGTACTAGGAACTGCGGTATCTTTGGTTGGTTGGGAATGAATTCTTTCATATGAAAAGTGTAATTTGATAAAATAAGAAAAAAATAAATATATAATTTTAAAATGAGTAATTGTGATTATCACATAATTACTTTTTTCGTATGAGAGTATCTATTTCTGCCGTGGTTTCTTTCTACTGCTTTATAAAAGGGGTTATGTTCTCAGCTTGCAGTAAGACCTATAGCTATACCATACCGACTAAACTCAGAGACAGATCATAAACATAAACAGAGGAGAGGAAGAAGAAAATTTAGCAGAAAATATATAGCTGTATAATATTTAATTAATCTACATATTATAATTTTTATTTTGTTTTCATCTGCTGCTACTCTGAAAAAGCAATTTATATTTGTCAAAAGATATGAAGTAATAATGGGCAGGGGGAAGGTGGAGCTGAAGAGGATTGAGAACAAGATAAACCGTCAAGTTACATTTGCAAAGAGAAGGAATGGGTTGCTCAAGAAGGCTTATGAGCTCTCTGTCCTCTGTGATGCTGAAGTTGCCCTCATTATCTTCTCCAACCGTGGCAAGCTCTATGAGTTCTGCAGCACCTCTAGGTACCTATTATAGCCAAATCCATCATCATCATAATATATATATACATAGATATGCTCTTTCTTTGTGTGCCACGGCTTCTGTGTTCCCCTTATGTGAATAATATGTGGTTCTTTGGGAATTATTATTATTATTTTTTATCTGGGTCTGGCTTGTTTTTCTTTCCTTGTTTCATGGGATGCTTAAAGTTTTTATCTTGCTGATCTATCTCTTGATTTGTTCGGGGTGAGTTTATGCATAGATTTTCATCAGGGATTGTGAGTCTAATGACCCCCCCCCCCCCCCCTTCTTTTGTCTCTGGTTTTTTATGTTTTGATTCATAGGGCATGATATATGATGTGTAATTTGGTGTCTTTTTTTGTTGTCCCTAACCTAGGATTTTTTGTTTTTTTTTGGTAGACAAGTTTAACCTAGGATTTTAATTTCTTTTGTTGTTTTCATCTTCCTGCTTTTTAAAGAATTATAAGATGGCAGTCACAGCTTGAAGATCGTTTTGCTTCGAAACCTTAACTTGATTAGTTCAAGGGTACGGTTATCCATAATGAATCGCTCGAGTTATTTTTTATGGTTCAATTTCAGTGTTTGTTTTGATTTAAAATTTAAACAATATTTATAGTAGTTCGTACTTCGTATATCATGGTAATCATCCAAAACAATTTCCCTTTATTTTGTTTTAAATCTAAATTGAGATGAATGGTTTTGTTATATAATAATATTTAATGATCATATATCCACTCTCCTAGTAAAATTTTGTAAATGTCTCGCTTGCAGTGGAATTTTCTCGTCTGAACTAAGAGTTTTTTTTTGATTATTATTTATGGAAAATTCATGAATCCCCCTTCTTGAATGTACTATCATATCAATTGATTAAAGGGCTAGTATCAATCTAACAAATAGTAGGAAATATCACCGATGATTAATTAATTAATTCAATAATAGCCATTTAAATGTTTGGAAATGAATTCTTTTATGCGGAAAAGAAATGACATGGTCATAAGAGAAAATCACAACCATACAAATTAAGGTGAATCAATGATTATAATTTTGTAATTACTTATTTAAATATTTTTTTCTCTTATTTTATTATCATTGGTTTATTTTTGTATGATTATGATTTTTTATATAACCATATCATAATTTTTTTTTTCCCACGGATCCATGTCCCAAATGTTTTTGTTTTGGTTTTAATCCAAATTTCAATATTTATTATGCGTCAGTTTAATTCCTTAGTAGATTTACGTTATGGCAATAATAATGTAATATCATAACATCGAGTCTTCATCTTAGGAGCCTTCAAATAATTAATTGTGACTAAATACTATTGGGAAATTCGTTCCCTCAAACTCCAATGTCAAGCGGGTCCAGGGGAAGCCCGTGGTGGGGAGCCACCACCAATGAGCTAAGGCTACACCAACCGTAGCAAATGGATCCGACACCATGTCTCAACCCAAAACCTTAAGGCATTGGGTTCATGGGTCCTTTCACTTATATACTCTTCACTTAACTCATTATCAACCAATGACTTAGCTCATTATCAACCAATGTGGGACTCATCACACTTGAATATCTCAACAATCTCCCCCTTAAGTGTGAAACCCACCATTGGTATGCTCCCCCTCAACCGAGTACCCGAAGCGCAAAGTACTCGACCCGTCTCCTAGCCAATCACTAGGCTAGCTCGAGCCCAATCCGGCTCTGATACCACTGTTGGGAAATTCGTTCCCTCAAACTCCAATGTCAAGCGGGTCTAGGGGAAGCCCGTGGCGGGGAGCCATCACCAATGAGCTAAGGCTATACCAATCCGACACCATGTCTCAACCCAAAACCTTAAGGCATTAGGTTCATGGGTCCTTTCACTTATATACTCTTCACTTAGCTCATTATCAACTAATGTGGGACTCATCACACTTGAATATCTCAACAAATAGTGTATATTATGAAAATAAATTCTGGCATTCTTTTGATACCTATATTTACTACCCCCAAGATTTCTCTGTCGATAGATACTTGATTCTGATTAGACCCTCACTTATGTGTCAGAACACAACAAAAGGAAAAAAAATCTATACAGTTTGCATTCAATGCAAAAAGATCAGATTTCAGTACAATGACATACAGTTTGAAAGACAAATACATGATTTACCGAAAAAAGAGAGAGAAGACAAATACATGTATCTTTATTAGAGGACAGTTATATTTATAATTTTATTTATTTATAATATTTAGAGGACAAATACATGTATCTTTATTAGAGGACAGTTATATATTCTTTTGAAATGTCATCGTGTAACTTTTCTTTGAGGTTAGACCGGTTTCTTTGCTGTTAAAATAGGTTTCTCTCATCTCTAGTGAAATTTTATGATTTTATAAGCCATCCATGCTTGATCAACATTTTAGTTGTGTTATATTTTGGGACCTTGTTGGCATTCATCAGTAGCATTTGATCATTCACGAATATGATAAGACGAGCCCTGTGTTTATTTTACTGTATGTCTAGATCTGCTAAACTGCCTATATCTCCATTGCCCTGTATATTAAACTGGAGTAATAGAGGGTTGCTGGGGGATTCATGTGTATGAACACATGTTTGGAGATTTCCTTTAGTAAGTTTTGCTTTTTTTGTTGAGGTGCAACCTTAGTTACCCAAATTTTAGGCAATCTTGATACATATTTTAATACTTTCATAGGGAAAAGAAAGCTTACAAAATATGTAACTTTCTATTATTGCTTTGCCCTCTAGATTAAGGCAATATCTAAGAACAAATCTGAAGTAGTTTGCTACTTTGCTTAGTGGCAAAGAGAAAGCACCCAAAAGTTATTGGTCTAGTGGCATTTAGCTAGACTCCAATATTTATTTTGTCCAAAGTGTAGTGAATTCGATTCCTAAGAGAATTTCTGGAGAGGATAAAAAAAATTCAAAATCAAAACCGGATTAATCGGATTCATTAGAATTTTGAATACTGGTTGGTATTTGGGGAAAAAAAAAGGTGATAGAAACTAGCTTGCTTTTGCTGGCATTATTTATTCAGCGCCTTCCTAGAATTTTTGGGCATAACATCTCAACCATTCCTTCATTATATATTTAATGGTATATAACAAGATATTTCTCATCCTTTGGACAACACCTAATAAATTTTCGTTGTAATATACACTTAGTGCCTGTTTGGATCCTTTTTTTTAAAGCTAGAAGCTACTTATAAGCATAAGTTAGGCCAAACAGGTTTTGGGAAAAGCTCTTATAATGAAAAGCTCTTTTTTTTATAATGAAGAAAAAAGCTGAAATCTAAAAGTTCTTAGGAGGAGCTTTTTTTTAAGCTCTTATCTATTTTTCTTGAATTGTGTGTTTTTTTTAAAAATGAAGAGTTATAAAGATAGAGAAAGAAATAATTTTCTTGAAATATGTGTTTTTAAGTAATTTTTAAGCTAAATTTTTTATGCAATTACCAAACAGCTTTTAGCTTCTTTTATTAAGTTCTTTTTTTTAGCTTTAACTTATAAGTAGCTTCTAGCTTAAAAATAAGAGGATCCAAACAGGCTCTTAATTGATATCTGCCTGCAATGAAGCTTATATCAACATTTCATTGTAAAATACATTGATGTATCCACATTTGGCTTAATCATATCATATTTCAAGAGTTGTCAATTTCTATGATATTTGCCTCCAAGGAAGCTCATATATTCTTTATTATGAGGGACAAAAGTTAGAATACTTCCAGAGATAAACAGGATTTACTACTTGGAGAAGCGGGGTGTAGGAAAACGAAATAAAGAAAAATAAATAAATAAATACATAAAGAAATCAAATTAGAGGAAATGAAATTTATTCTCTTCTGGCATTTGTAATGACCAAAACACATGGTTTAAAGCCAAACTAAGAGGATTAGGTTTGGTTTCAATAATGTGTAGTAAGAGTTATGTAGCATATCAATCACATATTCTAATCTCCATCATCATAATTTGTCTAGTCTCGTACAATTGACCTTATAATAGTTGGTCTCAAATTATTAATTACTTTCAGATTTATTTCCCCTTTTTTAATCTCAATTACTTATATACTTAAAATAATTACTTTCAGATTTTTCTTTTTTAAGTTAGTTTACTTTTCTTTTCAAATTTTAATTGTTTATACTCTCAAATCAATTATTTTCATATCTTCTTTTTTACATTAAAATTTGTTCTTTCTACCCAAGTTTCAAGTGTTGCACTCCTATATATTAACTTAGAATATATTATGCCTAGAGTGACTTAAATTTTTAGTTCACTCTCCCTTGAAAATGCCATTCTTGATTTATTTTCTTTAAAGTTTTAAATTCAATGTCTTCGGATACTTGTTAATGATTTAAAAAGGAAAAATATTAAATAAAAATAAATACTTTTTAAGTTTGGATATGTTATTCTACCTACTTCTTTTGCTACCCACCTTTGCCTATCACTCTCCAATATACCATTAGATTATAATCTCAATAGGAGAGAGAAATGATAAGGGTAGTTGAGATTCTGATCTAATAGTGTTGCAAAGTTGTAAACAAAGGTAAACAGAAAAAAAGAAGGTAGAATAACCTATCCTTTTTAAGTTCTCAATATAATAAATACTAATTTTCATTAAATGTTTTTTGTATTCCTTAACAAGTGCATCTAAGACACTCATTAGCATGATCCTAAATTCAGTAAATTGAATTTGGCAATTGAATTTCCCTCCTTGTTCTTCTTCTTAAGGAAAATATTAATTAATCAGTTTCTGAATTATTAATGATTTCTGATGGAAGAAAAAGATTTATTTACTTATTTATTCAAGAATTAAGTATATTTTAACTTGTCAATTGTACTAAATAAGAGATTTCATTGGGCATTAATTTATTTATTGTATTTTATGATTTGATTTATATGATCTTAATTGCATTTCCTTTCTCTTGAAGTAAAATACATGGACATATATACTCATGTACTGGCTATTTGTTTTAGCATGACCAAGACACTTGAACGGTATCAAAGATGCAGTTATGCAGCCTTGGAAGTGCACCACCAATCTGCAAATGAGACACAGGTCTTCATTTTTCTTTTTTTAACTAAAATATGTTTTTATGAGGATAAAGAAGCTAGAGAATGTGACATTTATACATCAACGAATTCAACTGAATCTACTATTTACATTGGTTTCATTTATTTTCTAAAAGGTATAACTGAGTACTTTGTAAAGCATTATTTTTGTGTATGCACTCTTCGAAATGATTTTGAAGGTTCCGCCTATTCTTCTAAAAAGCATAGGAAAAATCCTAAACACAGTAAAAGTCAAACAGATAAGTAAACTTTGCAGACATGTTTCTTTTATTAAAGGTTGATTCCAAGTTCCAAGTTTGAATACTGTTAAGAACCTTGAGGTCACCACCCCAAAAGCTAGCTCAAAGGGTGAGAGTGTCCAAGGCCTTATAAATGCCACATTAGTTGCCCACACAATCAATATGGGACTATATATCTCAACACGCCCCCTCACGCAAGAGCCATTTGGGCTAGAAGGTTAGAATTGCACAGGCTCAATTTTTGGTTTACTTTTTGTGCTTTTGTTTTAATTTTTAATTCCACTTGAAAGTGGAGGGTCGTGAGAATCGCTCTGATACCATGTTAAGAATCTTGAGGTCACCACCCCAAAAGCTAGCTCAAAGGATGGGAGTGCCCAAGGCCTTATAAAGGCCACATTAGTTGCCCACACAATCAATGTGGGACTATATATCTCAACAAATACTGCTAATCGCTTTACATTGATTTTGTTTTATTAAACGTTGATTCTTCAAGATTCAATTTTCAGTAGTGTTCTTATATACTAATTAATTTCCTTTTAGTGTGTATATATAATTTAAAGTAAAGTAACTTTTGGATCCTTAACAAATATCACGGGCCCAATTTAATCCCTTATAAAAAAAAGTCGATCCATGGTCCCTCTAAAATTCAAAATAGACCTATGTTAGTCTTTTTAAGGGACTAACGTGGATCTTATTTGAATTTCAGAGGGACTACGATTTCGACTAATTAAGTCTACTTTGAATTTCATAAAAACCACATGTCGACTTTTTTTTAAGGGTTTAAAATTGGATCCATAATTTTTATTGAGGACCCAAAATATAATTTATTTGTTTATAAATAGAAACTGTCCAAGTCCAAGAGCATGACTTAATGACTTTTGGCAAAGTCTAACATATACACCATGCCCTTGTGTAGAGGCGCTACCAAGAGTATCTCAAGCTGAAATCAAAAGTTCAGGCACTACAGCAAAACCAGAGGTAGAATGCTAGCTCAAAATGTTTTAAATTCTTGTCAAAATACAATTAGCTCATCCAAGATGAAAGTATAAATAGATATTGGGTTCTATGGAGACAAATTATGGGAAATATTTTTCTTATGTCATTAGAGATAACTATCTCATGTTATACACTCATCAAATTTTGTGTCAGTTTTTTCCTTTTCTTTTTCCTTTTGTTTTAAAGTGTGTATTCCACATATTTATTTCACACACATGAGAGAACTATCTCAAGCAACATGAGATTAGTAACTCCTATAAATTATATCTGCATCATGTAGAAACTTCCTTGGGGAAGATTTGGAGCACTTAGATATTAAGGAGCTTGAGCAGCTTGAACATCAACTGGACTCTTCCTTGAAGCAAATAAGGTCTAACAAGGTATGTAAATTTGGTATCTGAGTGTGATGAACTAACTGGTCACGTGTCATGTTTAGAGGCCTACGAATTTGTAAAAAGGAAAAAGTATTTCTTGAGTCATTGGAGATAAAGTTATCTCTAGTTAGCTCAAAACGACGTCGTTTTGAGATTATAAGATTAAAAAATTATAATGATAAAGACTAATATAACCCTACAAAAATATTTTGATTTCCGTCCCAAAACGATGTTGTATTTTGAGATCACCGAAAAAATTCTTTACCCTCGTAAAATTTATATTTTGCCCCCAGTCAAAATGGCATTGTAGTTTTCTTAAGAAAAAGAAACGGATACATGAATCAAGTTAATTACACTAGTTTTAAATTTTGCCATGCATGGAGATTCAATTGCATACTGAGCCAGTTAGATATCCTTTCCAAACAATAAGAAATTTGCTTGGAATAAAATGTTGTTGACTTTCCCATAAACCAACACTTTGAAATTCATAATGCTTTTCTCCGTTATTTCCTCCGTTATGTAGTTTTTATACAAGCAGGTCTTGAATTTATTTATTTTGTATGGTTTCAGTTAGATATTTATCATTTAAAACATATACTTGATCTGCAGAATTTGGAAATTGATCACCTCATATTAAAAAAAATGTTATGGTCATGTGGGAAGATCATAATCATACAAAGATAAATCAATGCTTATGATCCACCTTTATATAATCATGATTCCTCACATGACCATGTTATTTTTTTTTTTAACATGAAATGATCCAGATCCACAGAATTTATATGGTTTCGTGTACTCTCTACACGTAGAGTTTAATACGGCCCCACATTAACGCTAAACTAGCACTAATATCTTTGGAAAATAGCTAGTTTGGTGTCTTTGCTGAAATTAGATTAATTAATGAAATCTTAACATAATTTGAGCATCTATAATATCACTTGCTTTCTCATTTACATATACAAAAGTTAATCATGGATTAAGAGAGTTTTACATCAAGAACTAATAATGAACATTTGATACACATCAAAAGCCTATCATATTTATCTCAAATTAATTGGGTCAACGGTGGATAAACTCAAATAAAAAAAAAATATATAAAGAAAAAGATTTAAAAAGGACTGTTTGGATCATAAAAATAATAGGCATACTAATAAATTCCCTCTACCCCGTCTTATAAAATTAACCACACATCAAGATCTATTTTTCATGGGCTATCTGAAAATTTTGATACATGCATCATCAAATTTTATGGATAATTTGGTACTTAGAAAAATATTGCATCACAAGTTTAGAGGGAATATTCCAAGCACAACATATAATGTCGCTGAGGTTGCTATAAGTATTTGATGTCATAATCTTAAGATTATACAATAGCTCAGTATTCTTATACTTCTAACAATATTTTCTTATTTATCTCTTTGTTGTCTCTAGACACAACAAACGCTTGAACAACTCTCTGATTTACAAAAAAAGGTAAAACTTTGTTTAGACTTTCTATGTCATTCTTTAAGATATATCATTTGCTTATTTTGGCTGGCCGACTCTGTTTTTGATGGACATGCAGGAGGAGATGCTACTGGAGACTAATAATATCCTAAGGAACAAGGTAACAAAACAAACAATTTTCAGGTGTTATTAAATATGATGCGTTTAGTAATCTGATCTTGTGAAACCTTGTTGAATTTTCTCTTTGAATTTTATTTTTCGAAAAGGTATTAAAAATAATCAAAGAATCAAGTTATTTATTGTTGAAAAGGATCAAAACTATATTACTCATATTAAATGATAAATAATTGACCAACTGTGAATTATTTTGTTGTAGACAGTGGCCCTAAGCATTATTGTTCACTTGTAAATGTTAATTATTGCAATGACCAAATTGATAATTATATAACTCCGTTTTAATACTTTGGTAAAATGAAATCTTTAGATTCCTCAAATCATGAGTTTTAGGTAGCCTAACCCATACAATAATATATTTAATAATTAATAACTTAAAAACACATTATATTTTATATTTATCAAAATTAACAACTGATTCTCTTTGTAAAAATAATGACGCAACTCGAGATTAATAGCTTATATTAAAATCAAAACATTCTTCACATGGAATATTTGCCAAACACATAAATGATAGCCAAATTAGACTCCCTCAATAAAATTAGAGGAAGAGAATCAAAAGTTAACTATTTCTATTTTTTTTTTTTTTTGGTACATAACTATTTATATTTATTTGCAAAGATATATAACCTCAATTTGGATAAGTTTGCAAATTGCAATTCAATGATCAAATATTGAAGAATGTAATAAGCTCGCCATGGTGCCATTATAAAAATCGTACTTAAATCAAAGAGCAATGCTAATTCAATAAATTCTCAAAGCTAGGGTTATGCCCAAATATATTTATATATATAAAGCAGAAATTAATACTTTATTAAAATAATATACATGTTTAAATAGGGATATGCTTAGACAGAACTATAATAGGCTCCCCACCTGAGGAGGTTCTTTCACACAAGTAAATATTAGGCTCCCTGCCTTGATATATAAAATAATAACAGACTATACAAGTTCATCTCCTATAAATGAGTCATGGTGTACCAATGTCAAGACCTATTATTATTAGTTGCAGTAATATGAAGAAGTCCTTCCCTCAAAACCAATTCAAAAACATAAACCATAATATATATTCATATTGGCATAATTAATCATAAACATACTATAGTGTGTATAAAATGTTTCATCCACATTTTTTAAACAATCAAATAATAATGTTTTTTCAAATATTCAACCACGAAAGTGTAAATGATTATCAAATTCATGTGATCTTTTCATACCTTTTCTCAATATGATCATCAAAACCAATTCATATACAGTCGATGAACCCAAATAAAAAGAAAGATTGAGGAAAAGAAAAACAAACAAGAGAGAAAAGTAAATTAATAAATAAATATTTAGAAAAAAAAATTAAGATAGGTATTCTCGAACAAAGGAAAAAACAGGTCTACCCTTCAATAATGCTAGTAGATTTCCTCCGCTCCGTCCGAGATGAATTGTATAATAATCTATTTCCCACTCAATTAAATATAATTTTATTACTTTTTTCCAAGAAAGTTTCGCATGATCTCCTCCTATTTTGTGTCATGCTCTCAGTTTCAAGCTCTTGTTCTTGTTGCTGCATATAACAGTCTTTGAATAATATGACAAAACTATCTCAATATATATTCACTCATCTTTTTAACCATCATTACTACTCCAATTACCTTTTCTATGTAGAATATCATTATTTCTTATCTTACCGATAATTGTATGACCACATATCCAATTTAACATCCTCATTTTTGCCACTCCCACTTTATAATCATGCTACTTATGGGACTACCAACATTTAGCTTTATATAACATCGCATACCTTATTGTCGTTCCATAAAATTTCTTTTAACTTTGGAGGAATTCTGCGATAACATAAAATTCTTAATGCATTGTGCCATTTCATCCAACTTTTTTCTTGTTCTATAGTTTACATTCTCATCAATCTCTCCCCATTTTGCAATGTTGATCCCATATATATAAAAGCATATTTCTTGGGTACCTTTGGGAAGCTCTCATCCAAGCATATTCATGGAATCTCGATCTCCTCATGTCGTAGTAAACTCACACTTTAAGTACTCAATTTTACTTTGACTTAGCATAAATCATTTATACTGCAACATGTTTCTCCAACTCGTCTTGATGCCTTTTGTTAGCTCATTCATAACTAGGGCAAAAAGAAAAAGACTCAAAGGAGAACCTTGATATAAACCTACTGGAAAATTAAATCATCCACTACAAACTTAACTAAATTAATCGTATTCCCTTTCTTTATGACATGAGCAACTATCTTTAAATTTTTTATTGATCAAAATCCCAAATCTATTTTTACTCTTATTTGTGCTTGTGTACCACAATTTTTTTTTTTTTTTTAAGGTTACAAGGATCGAACACAACAACTCACACTAACACACACCCACACCACTAGGCTAACCCGAGTGGATATGTGTACCACAACTTTAATTCGATGCCTTCCACTTCCTAAGTCTTTTTTATACCCACTTGGTCATTAGAAGGAGAGCAATATTCACTCTTCTTCTAGGAATAGTATCTGTTAACTGCCTTACCCAGTAAAATTTATATGTTCTAACTTCCCAATATCATTCTCCCCCATTGAGTATTTCTTGCCCCCCATGCTTGCCTATAAATGTGTGAAGACCCTAGCACACTTTTCTCTATATCTAGGCACCGATGCGGTGTTTTTCCTTAATGCAAGGGCCTTAATCCATTTTTCACTACACTCGGATTTCTGCAACACACGGCTAAGAAAGGTACGCTAGCTCGAACAAATAATCATTTGGTTTGATCTCATTAAAATAGCTGGATTCTTTTTCCCCGTCCAGCTCGCTATCCTTAACATCAACCTTCCTTCTTTACCCTAACTTTGGACATCCTATTTATATTTACTTAGGCAAAGTTATCAAAACCAAATCAAGCATTATAAAGAAAACAGTGAAATCAAATAGTTATGTTCTTGTTACCCTGTCCCACAAACAGTTAATTAGATAATATTACAACATCTATCATTTATAAAACCATCGTATGATAATGAGCTAAATCATACTAAATTTTTGAATATAAGAGTTTAGACTTGATATAATTTACATTATTTACTAATTAATAAACATCATGAGCAGACTAATAGAAGTATAAAACTGTCAATTGAAGAGATGATAGGTGAAATCTTACTAAAAGTTCGCAATTGTTGCATAAGTGGGAGATTATAAGAGCTCTGACATGTGTTTTTGGTAAAACTAATTTCCAAGAAATGACTGAAACAAGGACTTAATAGGTGTTAAAACTGTTGCAATTGACCATCAGACAACTCCAAAACCTACCACTAGCTTCAAACCAAGCTTGTGTGCCCATATGCCACCAAGGGTCTAAGTAGATAGCCCCAGAAAAAAGATGACTAAAGTAGGCCAACTCTTGCACTATCCCAGTTAAACTCATATGACGTTTATTGATATGCTCATATTTACACGGCACATGTTGCAGAGCAGAAATGCTCTAAAAGATGGCAATACAGTAACCCTTCGCTTCTAATTGTGGGACATTTCCTTCCAGTAGAATGACTTCACATGTCCCTTTTTTTTCATATATATATATATATATATATATATATATATATATATATATATATATATATTAATATAATACATTATATTTATTATTTTGATAATAACCCGTGGTTCATGCAAAGCATCGGGTGCTACAATAAGTATATGATGGGTTCATATGTATTAACTTTTGATGAAAAAAATCAATGTTTTGGATGTTTATACAATGGGTTCATCTAATCTCATGTTGCATAAGAGAAGATCTCTTATGTGGTAGACACATATGTTGTGAAGTCCGCCATTTAAAAAAAAAGAGAAAAAAAAAAAAAGAATATCACATTTTTCAATGAATCTATAGGAGATAAAACTACTCTTATATGATACAATTGCTGAGCAATAATTTAAAGACTTGTGAAAAATTGCACTTTAGTCTATATAAATTTAAACAATATTAAAGCACGTCCTTTGGGTGGATACCCACGTGATTCCCATCATTTATATTTTCCCAATAAATTGCTTTCAGTTTATGCTTAAATTTTGGAGTTGCTTTGTTTACTTTTCAAAGTGGTTCTATATGTTGCCATTTTGTGGCACCCCATTAGATTAATTCCAAACTGTCCATTTTTCACAGTTGGAGGAAATTAATAGTGGCCTTCAACCCACATGGGAAGCTAGGGAGCAGAATGCTCCCTTCAGCTACCACCCCCTCCAATCAGAGGGATACTATGAGACAGCACATTGCAATAGTACATTGCGAATTGGGTAATTCTTTTCTCCCTAAATGCAAACAATATTGTGAAGTAGATTATATATGTGTTTGCAAGAAGCTGATTCCTCATTCTTCTCGACAGCTACGGTTCTTCAGTGTCAAATGAAGCAGGAGGAGATGCAGGAACCTCAACCCAGAATGCCAGTGAATTCATGCATGGATGGATGGCCTAAATTTCTAACTTAGTTTGATTTATGATTTTCAGAAGATGATGCTTCTATCGTAGATATATTGTAGCCTTGAAGAACAGGCTGTAATAACAGGTGTCATACTACATAAAACATATAATTATATGCTATATACTCCAATAAAATACATTTCTTTGATGAATTTGATAGCATCTTGCCAAATTCCATCCATCTTAAGTCCAAACCTTCTGAATTTGATCCAAATGGGATTCTTTGGTACATAATGACATGTTTAAATTATCAAATAAGAAATTGCCATTGGTTACTGTTCAATTTGCTTCTTCTTTTTTGTACAAATCTGCTTCTGTTTTTTAATTTGTTTAATTGTAAGAATATAAAGATCTGTATTGAATCCTAGGGTGTTCGTGGTTTGAATTGGATCGGTTTTAGAAGCAAAAATCATCCGATCTAATCCCTTCGGTTTGATCATATAATCATCTATTCGGTTTGGATTTTTTTTCAAATCCGATCCAATCCAATTTTTTTCGGTTTGGATTGGATCGGTTTTTGGTTTTTTGAAAATCCTAAAATTCGTTTCATGGTTATTGTGCAAATAACATCTTTTGTATAATAGGCTTTGTAATTATTTTTTTTGAAATAGAAAAGCATCTAGTAAACGATAATATAATTTTTTTCTTTGCAATGAGATATGGAGCTTTATACAGATAAAATTTTGTTGATAAGATGTGACTAGGTTTTTTCTTGGGTTTAATTGATGGGTTAATGAGTATTGGGTTTAGAAATTTTTGGGATATAATTGGGAAAAGACCCAAGTAGGTAGAGGAAAATTAATATATTGGATCGGTTTTCATCAACCCATCCTAAAACCGATCCAATCCAATTAAAATTTGCAATTTTTTTTTGGTTCTCGATTTTTCGGTTTATTCGGTTATCGGTTTTTCGGTTCGGTCACCGCGGTTTGAATCGGTTGCTGAACACCCCTATTGAATCCTGCTAGATATAAACCGGCACGTGACCAAGAGAAAAACATATGTACGTGAGTTTCACATTTGATTTGGATTGTCATATAAAACATGTAAAATGTTATTCTTACGCAACAAAAGATAATATCTCTTTCTTATAGTTCATATTGATTTTTGTGTAGTTAACTACATACGTGGATTCCATCTATGATTGTTTGTATGGTAAGAGAAAACTACATACGTTTATAAGCAATCGTCTACGATATTTTGTAATGCCGAAGCGGAGTAACCGCAATTCTTAATATAATCTTTATTTCATCAAAAATAATTAAACAATTTATTAAAAAAAACTAAATAAATTAGGGTTCACACGCACTTAAATGTGAATTGAAAAATCAAATAACAAGAATCACAAAACTGTCCTTACATAAATAAAAAGATAAAGTTAAATAGACTATAATTAAAAGCTCTATGAAGACGATCTTGAAAGCGCAAAAAATATTGGTGCTCATTGTGAAGCAAATGAGCCTGGCTCAGGCCAATTCCAAAGGTCCGATCAAGTTTGAGCCCATTTTGAGATGACCACTATTTATGGGGTATAAATAAGTTAGGTTGAGTTAGGATTTGACTTAAAAAGACAGTCCATGTAAAATATTTGAAATATGATTTGACTTGTTAGTCTGATATTGACAAAACTATAAACGAGGCCGAACCCATAGTTAAAAATTAAAAAAAACCTATCATATGCTTGTTAGGTTGTTTGAACCTATTAAACCATCAAGAATTAAAAAAATTTAAAATAATAATATTTAAATGATAATTTTATTTAAAATAAATAATATGATATATGTTGACTTGTAAAGATTATATCATGTAAAACAAAGTTTAAGACCTATTTTTTAAATATGCTTTTTTAAAGCCTTAATTCGTTCTATTTTATTAGATATACTAGGCTAGACCCGATCTAATGTAAACTAGTCTAAGGCCTTTAATGGTTACCTAATCCATTTATACCTCTAATTTTGTTAGAATCGAAACATAATATTTTTAAGTTTTATGTTTGATATTCATTATCAGCAATCATTTTTTAAGTGATTTATAAGTACTGTAGTAAACTTTTACAGGACATGTCTTGATTTTAGAATAAGGCAGCTTCTCTTTCTAAACTTTGTTCAAAACACTAAATAAAGGAATAAATCTACACACATATAGTATTTGTTTCATTCTTGTCATAACGATAAATTTAGGCATCGATATGATCGTATGAGTTATGAGGGATTGTTTGGTACCTCAAATGAATTGTGTCCGTTATCTTAATTAAAGCTTTGTCCGATATCATCGTACAAATCTTTGGTGAATCAGATATCAAATTCGGTATTTTTTTTTATTTGGAAAACAAATTATCACTTTTGAATTTTTTTTCTCGCCATATTAGAAAAGATTGCTATTTTGAAAAAAAAAAATCCAGTTGGGTTCACCAAAAATTTATTCCTAGATAAAAGGGATGCAGTTTGTAACTATTACTTACGATGTACGACTCATCCATACATTTCACGGAAGAAATTTTTTTAATGAAACAATACATTATAAAAAGTTTTTTTTTTTTACTCTTTTGCCCTTCATTAATTAATTAATAATTATTTTGTCCTTTATTTATTTTGCTCCTTATTCGAAATTATCTACCAATCTGTCCTTCTTTAATCGATTAACTTGAAGATTTAATCGATTAAATGGTCAAAAAACTGACAAAAATGGTTGACTTGAAGATTTAATCGATTAAATATCTCTCTTAATCGATTAAATCTCCCTCTTAATTAATTTAATCGATTAAAACTTATATTTAATCGATTAAATATACCAAATGAGCGTGAAAGCATTGATTGATTGCGTTTTGTATTTAATACGAACTGATTGCGTTTTATTAATAGTTGCCATTTTACGAGTTGGTTACAGATTGTCACCAATTCAAATTTATTTGTAATTTATAATTCTGAACCTATTTATGAGCAACATTTCAATGAAATGAGTAAATATACCAAATGAGCGTGAAAGCATTGATTGATTGATTGCGTTTTGTATTTAATAGGAGCTGATTGCGTTTTGTATTTAATAGGAGTTGAATGTGTTTTGTATTTAATAGGAGCTGATTGCGTTTTATTAAGAGTTGCCATTTTACGAGTTGGTTACAGATTGTCACCAATTCAAATTTATTTGTAATTTGTATTTCTGAACCTATTTATGGGCAACATTTCAATGAAATGAGTAAATATACCAAATGAGCGTGAAAGCATTGATTGATCGCGTTTTGTATTTAATAGGAGCTTATTGCATTTTGTATTTAATAGGAGTTGAATGTGTTTTGTATTTAATAGGAGCTGATTGCATTTTATTAGGAGTTGTCATTTTACGAGTTGGTTACATATTGTCACCAATTCAAATTTATTTGTAATTTGTAATTCTGAGCCTATTTATGGGCAACATTTCAATGAAATGAGTAAGAGTGTACATACCAACATTTGAATTGTGACAATATGTAACCAACTCGTAAAATGGAAACTCCTTAATAAAACGCAATCAGCTCCTATTAAATACAAAACACAATCAACTCCTATTAAATACAAAATGCAATCACCTCCTATTAAATACAAAATGCAATCAGCTCCTATTAAATACAAATCGCAATCAACTCTTGTTAACTTGTTGATTTGCTTCGTATGCATGGAATCTGTTTTGTTTATGGAGGAGATTTGACCTTTATTGCATGTTGCGAGATTTAATCGATTAACTTGAAGATTTAATTGATTAAATCTTCAAGTCAACCATTTTTGCCAGTCTTGACCATTTAATAGATTAAATTTTCAAGTTAATCGATTAAAGAGGGGCAGATTGGTAGATAGTTTCGAATAAGGGACAAAATGGTTATTAATTAATTAATGAAGGGTAAAAGGGTCAAAAATCCCATTATAAAATGGAAATAATTTTTTATGTTGAAGAAAAATAATTATTTTATGGGAAAAGTATTTCTTCATTCACTGGAGATAAAGTTATCTCTAGTGAGTTCAAAATGACGTCGTTTTGAGATTATAAGATTAAAAAATTATAATGATAAAGACTAATATAATCTTGTAATATATTATAATTACAAAAATACTTTGATTTTCGTTCAAAAATGACGTCGTTTTGGGCTCACCGGAGATAACTTATCTTCATTGACCGAAGAAATCCTTTATCCTTATTTTATATTGTAGAAACAAAATTGTAAGTGAGACTCATAGGTAAGAGGAGAGAGAGAAAAAAGTGGGACGCACCATCTTTTGTGTGTGTGGGAAATAAGGGTGTTAACGGATCGAGCCGAGCCAATCTTTGATCTTAAAAGGCAAAACTCCCCTGCTGTGAAGCAGTCCTCTTGAACTGACCAGGCGCCTGCCTCGTCGCCAACTGTTTACCTTTGCCCTTCCTAGCAAACTTCCTGTCCTTCCAAGAAGTAGGAGCAGGAGTGGAACTAATAGTCCCCTTGGTCTCGTCGACCTTGGCATTCTTGGCCTTGCTCGCTATGCAGACATCCTCAATGTCCTTACACTGTTGAACCAGTGTACCAAAATCCCTCGAAGCAGCTCCAGCAATATGCTCAGCAATCACCTCACTAAGTCCTCTGCGGAACTTAGCAGCCAGAAACATCAGAGTAGGAGGAACCATCCGGAAGTGCGCAAACTTCAAAAGCTCATTAAACTTGGCCAGGTACTCGTCAACAGACATCGAGCCCTGAACCAATCTATCAAATTCTCCATGCTTCCTCTCCTGCACATCGTAGGGAAAGTACTTGCCCAAAAAGCATTCCTCGAAGAATGACCACGTCATGACATGACCCTGCATCTCATAAGCACGAGAGGTGTTCGTCCACCATTCATGGGCATCGCCCTCCAGCATGTAAGTCGAGAACATCAGCTTCTGCGGCTCTGTACACTGCATGACCCGAAATATCTTGTCCAGCGCCTGAAGCCATCTCGCTGCAGCAATAGGATCCAAAGACCCATCAAACATAGGTGGCTTATGCTTCCTGAAAGCATTCAGCCGGCGATCAATCACGTCACGATCCTCAGCATGCCTTACCAAGGTCTCCATCGTCTCAGCGACATGAGTAGCACT